CAAAAACCTCTTATAGTACAAGGGGACTGGACTACTCTTGATTTATAGGAGGAACCAAGATAACTTCTTGTGTGTCTCTCTTACTCTCTACTCTTATATTGTTTAATCCACTGCAAACAAATTACCCTAAATCATATTTTACACTTTATGGTAAAAATTTGATAAAAGAGTTTGAAAAGGAAAGAAAAAACAAACACAATTCAATCCCCCTTCCTGTGTTTTTCTCACCTACAAATATTTAATTTATGCAAACTTATAAGGTCAATTCAATTATATAAGACATCAATTGAAACATTCTTCTTAGCTTATACATTTTACCTTGTTGTAGACATTTTTAAGATTAACTTGTTATTTGATAATACTACCACTAATAAACTCGTTTGTGTTAGAATTAAATCTAAATTAATTCTAACACCATCCCTTAATTTAGATTTAATTAGATATTAGTTTATATTTATGAATATCTTTTAGATTGTTTATATCTTTGTTAGAAGATATATATCTTAAGGTATTTGGTTCTGTATGTTACAAACATGTCCCAGAAGCCAAAAGACAGAAGCTGGATAATAGAAGTAAAGTGATGTTGCTGATGGAGTATCACAATACAGGTTCATACAAACTTTATTGTCCAGAAACTAACAAAGTTGAGTCCAGCAGAGACGTCATTGTAGAGGAATCAGAAGTTTGGAATTGGTAAAAAATATCGTCCTGACTCTGATAACAGAACTTCTGAAGAAATGTCAGAAATACATGTTTCTGAAGTTAGTAAAGACTTTGAAGAAGATAAAAGGCAAAAGGAATATTTACTGATAGCTTCAAAAATAAGGATTTACAATGAATTACAATAATCTACTCCACTAGGCTATTTATACACACAAATTAAATCTAAAATATATCTTCTACAAAGATATAAGAAGATCTAAGATATATATCTTCTAAAAAAGATATAAACAATCTAAAAGATATTCCTAAATATAAACTAATATCTAATTAAATCTAAATTAATTCTAACAGTTTGAACAAGATTGAAAATGGTGGTTCATCTTGTAAAGATGCCTAAAAATATATCAAGAGGGATCCCGTTGAACATTCTTGGACAAATTTCAATTTTCATCCCTACATACAACATGCTAAGTCATTAGTGCTTGGAAGCTAATGCATAATGTTATTGTAATAGGAGGAAACCTATTTCAAAGGTGAATTAATATGCTTTCAAGGTTATCTCTACAATCATAATATGGAAATTACATAGCACTTATTTCTTAGATGTATGTGCACCTTCTTAGAAGCGATTGTTTGGCACAAACATCGATAGAACTAGTTATGACATCTTATTCAAACTTGTTAGTAGAAGTTGGAGCTCTCAGATTTAAATTTTGATCATTACTCCATTTATAACAATTATTTGAAAAACTTGGCGCAACATAAATGATATCATGTTTTAAAATGGTAGACTTGACTTTGATAGAGACGTTATTCACTTTAAACATTTGGTCTATATGGCATATACTTCTTTCAAGGAACACATGTACTATTTGATTCACAAGTTTATAACTATTGAGTGCTTTGAAATTAAATGTCGATCTCCTCCTACACTTAGAATCATACAAGTCAATTGGTGTTTTTCTACCCATAATTGGATTAACTGCAACACAAATAGAGCTTCAAGAAGAAATTATGGATACTAACTTGTGGTATCATATTTAGGGATAATTTAAGAATATTCTTGAGAGCTTACTCGTCTAAAATTGGAGTTTGCACCTCATTTCAAGATGAATTGCACGAAACCATGCTTGCTATCAAATATGCTAACAGGGGAATTAGAGAAAGCTTTAGCTTGAAACTAAATTAATGTTTGTCATCTGTGTATTTTTTAATGTGAATGTTATCTCTTGGGATCTTTTAATTAAATGGAAACAAATGTGAGTTATGTTGAGAAATAAGTATAAGTTATAAGTCCCGCATTGCTTAGAAAAGTGAAGGTTGCACACATTATAAGTGAGAGAATGCATACACATATCACCTTAAGGTTTTGGATGAATATACAGTGTCTCTTTCACTTGTTTGGATGAGTCTTTGATCTTTAGATAAGTGTTTGACCTAATGTGAATGCTTCCCTCTCATGATAACTTATTAGTGGTATCAGAGCCCAAATTGAGTAAGAGACTGACTCCTTGTATCAAAAATCTTTCTGACACGGTGGTGGTAAAATGGCGTGTTCCGATGTAGTTCCCATGACGAGAAAGGATGTATGTAAATAGTGGTACAAGCATATGGATGAAAGAACTTCCGCTTGACAGAGAGCATATATAGTGGATGGACTCACACTTGAGTTTTATTGAGAAATAACTGAGTTCTAAGTGCCACATTGCTTAGAAAAGTAAAAGTTGAGCATGTAATAAAGGAAAGAACCCATAAACCTATCATCTTAAGGTTTTTAGTGAATATGTGGTGTTTCTCACTTGTTTGGGCGAGTCTTTGATCTTTAGGTGAGTATTTGACTGAATGTTAAAACTTCCCTCTCATGATAACTTATCAGTCCCTTGAGATCTTTTAATTAAATGAAAGAATACTTGACACACTATATATTCTTTTAGATTCAAGATATCTTACATTTTCAGAGAGAGATGCATATGCAAATAGATTAGTCAGTGGATGTTTATTTGTTGAATATGTGACTTGATGAAATTCAATTCATATTTATTGTTTAGAATGTTTTTTTGGAATAAGTTGAAAATGTCAATTGTCATTTTTATACCTATTTGATGGGTTAGATTTTATATCTTTATCTTTTTTTTGTGTTTTCTTTTTTTGTTTAGTATTTTTCATTTAAAAAATTAATATTTTAAAAATATGTTTTTTTTTATAAAATTTAGTTCCATTCTTACATTACGGTTTTAATAGGGGTGTTCGCAATGTGATTTAGACGATGTTTATTCTAAAAGTTATTTAAATTGCAAGAGAAAAACACGTGCGGTTTGATTTAATTTGATTGATTTTTAAAAATAAAACTAAATCAAACCAAATCAATGTGCTTTAGATTGATTTAGTTGGTTCAACTATTTTATAATATAAAAAAAATGATTGAGCCAACACATATAGAGGACAACATGATTCCGTGTTTATTCATTTATACATTATCATAAAATAAGTTTACAATTTTCAAAATAAATTTTAAACTTGATACATGAATATGAATTGTATCTTTTAACTTTATCTTATGTCTAAAGAATAATATATATTAAATTACATTCTTAAATAAATTTAAAATAATATATTATACATATAAACAAGTGCATGCATGTCACTGTGCTATTCTCATAACAGTATAAAATCTTTTTTATTATCAATATTTTATATATAAAAAAATTAAAAATTAATGTAAATAAATATTTTCTTTTAATTTTATTCTTATCAACATAAACAACTTAAAAATAAAAACAAAAATAAATATATATTAATTTCATTTCAAATAAAAATAATATTAATTTTATAAATAAATAATATTTTGTTTTTTATTAATAAGTAAATTAAAATAAATATGATACATAGAATACGATAAAGTATACGCATAATATTTATTGATTTCTCTAAAGAATTACAAATATATAACTGTTTGTAAGATTTTGTAATGTAATGTAATTTGCCTAGATTTAAATCGGTTTTTAAAATACAAATTGAAAATCGAATCGAATCGTACGATTTTATTAAAAAAAAATCTAAACAAATCTGACCCAAATACAATTTATTATGGTTTTTGATTTGATTTAATTTACGATTTTTTATTTGATCGGTTCAATTTTAAACACCCCTTAAATTTAAATATGCAAGGGATCCTTCTATTTAATTTTGTTTATTTAGTTTGGTCCTAGCAAATACATTTTATTGTACTTTTATCTTTGTTATTTTATTTTTAACTCGTATGAAATTTAAATTTTATTTTTTAAGATTTTAAAGTTAAAATTTAAAACTTATTTGTTTTTATCCTCTGCATACGTGTTCTTATCCACAAGGAGAGTATGGCAATTATATTAAGTTATCTGAATTTATATAAAATCATAATATAGTTCTCATAATATGGGTGTTCAAACTAATTTGTTTTATTTAAATTCATTAGTGTAAACTTTTCATCTATAGTTCAATTAGTAATGTTATTATTTTTTATATTTATTTATATTAATATAAATAAATTGTTGATATTTATAAATTAATTTTTTTAATTATATAATTATATAATATTTAATGCATGTAACTCTGATATAGTACATTATAATTATATTTAATATTTTCTAATTTATTGTCACGTTTTAAAATTTATGGTTTATTAGGAAAATTCAAAATATTTTTGGGTATAGTTTAAGGATAATTATTTATTTATATTATCATGATTTTTCATTATTAAAAATATTCTCCAATATTTTTTTTATATTGATATTTATAAATAAATTTTTTTTAAAAATTATATAATCCAAATAATATTTAATGTATGTAAATCATAGATAATAGATCATAATTATATTTAATATTTAATAAGTTACTTACACATTTCAATATTTATTGTTTATTAAGAAAATTCAAAATAATTTTTGGGGTATAATTTAAGCGTTATTTATTTATTTATTTATTTATATTATGTTAATCTTCAACTGTTAAATAAAGTATTTTCTATTTTTTAAAAGTACTGTGGATTTATAAATATTAAATTTACATTAATGAATAAATGTAAATAAATGAAACCGATTAATGAATAAATATTATCGTCAGTAATCGAATACTAGATCATCCTATTACACTCATATAACTTAACACATATCCGTTGAACTACTTCATATATCTTTTAAAGAAAATATTCCCATATAATATACTTTAAATATAAAAATAAAAATAAAAAGAGATTATTTGAACTTGACTCATTTCATTTTTTATATTTTTATTTGAGTTAATTCCCCAGCCTTCTTATAAATATCTTCTAGCAAGGCAATGCTTATCACACTTTCAAAATGACTACTAGCATCAATATGTTAGCAGTTTTTTTCATTGTTTTGGTCATGATCTCAGGTAATAAATTACTTCTATAATTCAATTTTATTTTAAAAGATTATAGAATTTTAGATTTTTTTTTATTCTTCTATTGCTTCTAATTGTTCATTTGATTTGCACAGGAGGAACAAGTTTTGAAGCCCATGATAAATATTGCACTATCAAAGGTCCATGTCCAGACGATCCAGCTTGTTTCAAATTTTGTACGGATAAAAACTATTATTTAGGTGGAATTTGTATCAGAGATCAATGTTGCTGTGACGCAAAAAGTAGATAACTACACTCATTCTCAAATAACGTATTTGTATCATCTTGTCTAAAGATACAAGTTTATGATTCTCAATAATGAATAAATTGATATCAGTTTGAACAATAGTTTTACATTCATTCATTTTACATTAAGGAATAAAAAAATGTATAGTCAAAATTGTTTGTGTTAACTATTTACCATTTTAAAAAGTTGGAATATACTTTTTTTTTCAATTAAAGTGTGACCTTTTCGTTTTTTTAACAATACTTAAACAATTGAATCTGGAGTAAACTAATATGAAGGAGTTTATATATACAATGAAAAAACCTTCATTATGAACATCCTAACTTTCAAACTCAACTCTAATCATAGTAAAAATGCTTATATTTATTTGTAAAAAAAAATTAAGATGGTGGAAAAAATGGTATTAATTTAAAGTAAATCCAATCTCAAAATTTTTTTATTTAAATATCTAAAATTAAAAAAAAAAATATTATTTTTTTGAAAAGTCAAATGATTATATTTAATTTGTTTATTTCAACTCACAAAAAATGTAAGAATACCACTTAACAAAATAATGAATAAAAAAATCAATTTTTGTTGGTTCAGTGATAATTGACATTTGATTTGGTAGGAAAGACTACGGTTTAATTCTCCGCAATTGTGATCGAAAGAAGACTGAAACTCCTTGATGTCAGAACTGACCCCAATCGAACTTTACGGATGATGAAAACTGAAGAAAAAAATGAATAAAAACAAAAAACATAAATAAAGAAGAAAATAACAATCTTAAGAAAATTATTTATTCAGAAAACATAAAATAAAGTGTTGAAACGTGTTTGGATAACCTCCCGAAAATCAATCTAGTGAGGCTGCAATTGTTTAGTGTATTTATGTGTTGTATCTTGTTGATACGTGATGTATGCTTATCTTTCCTTCAAGGGAAGATCCCTTTTTATACTTATGTCCTTGTGACCCGCTCTTATTTAGGTGGTTTCCCACATCCCTTCATAAATGAAGTTTTAACCCTCGTTGATGTAATCAAGAGGCATAACGCCTTATATAACATTCATGTGACCTTTCAGACTTCTGTAACAGTCGAATCGAGATGATATCCCGACCATCAGGCCTGGTATATGCTCAACTCCTCTGACTTATATGCCTAGTCTCATCGACGTAATCAAGAGGCATAACATCTTATATAACGTTTATGTGACCTTTCAAACTTCTGTAACAGTCGAATCAAGATGATATCCCGACCATCTGGCCTGGTATGTGCTCAACTCTTATGACTTATATGCCTAGTCTTCCGAGTAGGGACCTCCTTAGCGTGGTCCGATCTTAAATCACGGCCTTTACAGTGAACATAAGTTATCTTATCCATAGCCTATTTATGACACATAACTTGAAGGTCGGCTCAAGGATTTTTAACATGTACATAAGATCCTAATCTCAAGGCCCAACAGGACAAAGTGTTCGGAAAAGAAGACTGTTAAAATTCTTCAAGCGACTTGGATAGTCAATTATACGATGATCCAATGGCCATTTAGAGGCTAGCGTGTATCAGTGGACTTTCAAAAGCTTTCTCTTGGAGTCAGAGTTTCCTACCTCAACTGCTTACTCTCGCCTTCCTCAATCCTAGGTAATTCTATTTTCCATTTACTTCTGCCTTGTTTTATTTCTAGATCATGGTGCTTATACGAGAGTGCGATGATTTAGGAAAGTACATGTTCCCCAAAATTTCAAAGTGAGAAGTGAGCTTTGGGTGTAATGTATGTGAGATTGTAAGGATCATTTGGGATGAGCCGAATTTGACTAAATCATTAGAGAGGTTTATGGGGACATTTATTTGTCTCTCAGTGATTCTGACTCAGAATCCAACTCATCAGGTTCTGTAGAAGTTTTAATGGAGACAAATGACTCTTACATTGACTTAGAAGTTATGGGCTATAAGCATAACTTATTTGATTATAGTGACATTGGTAAGCATCATTCTGTCATGATTCTTTCATCTACTGGAAACAAAGAAGATGTAATTTTGGAAACCTGTAAGGAGAGTGAGGGTATTTTCCTTTATCTTCCAAGAGGCGCGGACGAGGAATACTTCTATTTTCACATCGGAGTACTCGAGGAATTCAAGATCCAGATCCTCTTCTCTGATTTTGAGGCCGATCTACTCACCACTTTGAATGTGGCTCCAGTTTAGCTACGCTCTAATGGTTGGGATTTTATCAAGGCAATGGAGATCATATGTGAAGTTCTAAATATTGAACCAACTTTGGGACTATTTTTCTCTTTTTTCGAGCCGAGAGGTGTAAATAAGGGTAGTTAGATCTCTATCAATGGGTCACCTGGTAGGAGTTTCCTTCGGGCCTTTACTTCCAATTACAAAGCCTTTAAGGATTGATTTTCGTCATTAGAGGAGAAAATAGGTGCCCTAGGTATATGTACGCGATGGATGGAAGTTGGCCCTTTCCGTTTTATTGGACGGAGAATCCAATACCAATTATTGGTTTTGATTATGAAGAGTTGAAAACAGAGGAGGTTCAAGCTCTAGCAATTTTAGATTCCTTCAAAATTCTGAAGGTTAAAGACATAATGAACATGGACGGTGACCAAGAGAAAATTTTGAAATATTGGGTAAGGCTTATAATCCCTAAATCATATGAAGTTATTTTGTTATTTTTAATTCTCTATTTTTATGATTAGCATTATTTTGGTAACACTAATTTAGAAGCAACATGTTAAATATGATGTTCTAGTCTTGCTGAGGGAATATGTTGGACACAATGTCCTATCCATTTTATCTGACATCTTGTTTGTTCCAGCTGCTAACTTGGATTTATTTTGATTTAATAGTTCCTAAATGTTCTGGGAATATTAGGATATTATTTGTGTTTTCCAAGATGCAAGTTTAAGAGATTCCTTCTGTATTTAGAAGATTATTTTGTTTCATTAAATGTTTAGACATTTTAGGAAACAAATCTTAAAATCCTACTTTTATGCAGAAGTTTCTGCTGAATTTTTACAACAGATTAGCTGGGGTTTTTAAGCCCATATCTAGTTCACTCAAGGTTATAAACGGAAGGCTACAACACAATTACAAGTGAGGAACAAATTGTATCTTTTAGAAAGTTTTAGGGTTTTTGTTCTTGTGATTTATGAGCCCCTCTTGTATCGTTTGATACATGAGTTGGGCTATTAGTATAGTTGTTTTGTATTGATCATTCATAAGCTTTTAAGCATTGAATGATTGTATGTCTTTAAAGTGTGTCTTCTAAAAAGTATTCTAAAGTGTTTAGAGTTGTTCAATCATTATTGTGATTTAAATGTATTTGAGAAGGGTCTCATACCTAGGTAAGTCTTAGGTAGAAGTTAAGCACGCGTAGTGATTAAGTGAGTAGATTTTAAACTAGTGAGAGTTTGAAGTGGGTCTACAAATTGACACTATTTAGTTGACTTCCTCCCTGCTTGGTAACCCCCATAGTAGGGGTTGTTGTACACCGAACTGGGTTAACAATTCGGTGTGTTCCTTTATTTTTTGCACTGTTTAAATTGTTTTACCTTGTCATTATGGTTTTATTTCAGAGATCAGTATCTTAACATCTCTTAGGACATCTAAGATCTGAATATCACAATTTCAATTGGTATCAGAGAAGGAATCCTGCTCTGACTCTAGGTGAGATTTAGGGAAGATACTTTCTAGTACAATGGACAAAGAAGGAGGATTTATGAAGAAATCACCCATTCTTGATGGAACCAATTGTGATTATTGAAAGCTCTTATGGTGGCTTTCATCTAGTCCATGGACAATAAGGCTTAGAAATTTATGGTCAAGGGATGGGATCCACCAAAGGTTGTAGGTTAGGATGGAAAGGTTACTGATGTAGAAAAGGTTGAAGAAGACTAGAATGATGAAGATGAAAAATTATCTCAAGGAAACTCCAAAGCCTTGAATGATATGTTTAATGGAGTGGATAAAAACATCTTCAGACTGATAAGCAATTGCATTGTTGCTAAAGAAGCTTGGGAGATATTGAAGACGACTCATGAAGGAGTCTCTAAGGTGAAGATGTTTAGGCTCCAAATTCTGACCACCAAGTTTGAGAACCTAAAAATGGAGGAGGATGAGAGTATTCATAACTTTTACACGAATATCATTGAGATAGCCAATGCCTTAAGTGCCCTAGGGGAGAGGATGTCTGAAGCTAAGTTTGTGAGAAAAATTCTCAGATATCTTCCGAAGAGGTTTGACATGAAAGTGACTGCCATTGAAGAAGCTCAAGATATAAACAATACGAAGGCTGGTGAGCTTATGGGATCTCTACACACCTTTGAAATAGGGATCAATGAAAAGTTTGAAAAGAAGAAGAGCATTGCCTTTATCTCTAATACTGATAACCTAGAATATGAGTGTGACTTGAATACAAAAGAAGAGATATCCATGTTATTGTGTTACTTGAAAGACAATTTAACAAAGTGATGAAGAAGGTGGACTGGAAGTCAAGTTCAAATGTCAAGAACAAGTTATTCGACATCAACAAAAATCAGGATTTTGGGAGAAGGCCCGATACTGAAAAAGAGACAACCAAGGAAAATGAGTCCAATGTCATGAATGTGAAGGCTTTTGGACACATAAGAGCTGAGTGTCCCACTTATATCAAGAACAGAAAAAAGGTCTATCTTTGTCATGGTTAGAAGATGATTCTGAAAGTGATCATGAAGAGAAATCTGCCAAACAGTTTATTGCCTTGACTGGACTTTGTGATTCTGATGAAGAAACAAATTGTGAATAACTAAACTTTGAAGAACTTGTTGCTTCTTATAAGGATTTGTGTGTCATAAGTGAAAAGGTGTGCTAATTAGGGGAAAAACAAAAGAAAACTATTGCTCATCTACATACTGAAAAAGTGGAACATTTGTCTATCATCTCTGATCTAGTGGCTGAAAAAGTTAAGCACCTGTACACCATCTCTAGTCTGAAGGGTGAAGTAATTTTGCTCAAATCTCAAATTGACAATATGACTAATTTTGTGAGAATGCTTAATAACAGCTCTGATGTGCTGGATGATATTTTTTAAACTGGTAAGAATGTTGGAAATGTCAGAGGTATTGGGTATGATAATCAAGTTGTGAAGAACAAAGGAAAAGATCCTGAAATAAGGTTTGTCAAAGAAAAAGGGAAGCAGGAGCAAAATATGTCAAATCAATTTCTCCAACATCAACATAGACATAAGAAAAATAACTCAGGAAACAAGACTCAATGTTGGAGATGTCATTACTATGGACAATTTGGTCACGTAAAACCCTACCGTTACAGATTATATGGCTATCATAAACCTGTTGCTCAACCCAGAAGAGAACAAACCTTTGTTAAAGCTAAGAAGGAGAAGATTCCTAAAAATGGCACTTCTATACTCATAGCTCACCCCTCTCTCAGAGCCTCTTCCAAAGAAGATTGGTACTTTAATAGTGGTTGTTCTAGACACATGACTGGTGTCAAGAAATTCTTAGTGGACATTAAACCATATTCCTCTAGCCATGTCTCTTTTGGAGATGGATCAAAAGGTAAAATAAAGGGTGTTGGAAAGTTGGGCTATACATGACTGCCTACTCTTTATGATGTGTTGTTTATTAAAGGGATGACTGCTAATTTGATAAGTATTAGTCAACTATGTTACCAAGGTCTCAAAGTTAACTTTACTGAATTTGAATGTACGGTAATAAATGAGAAGAATGGAGTGGTTATGAAGTGAGCTAGATCAAAAAACAATTGTTACCTATGGTATCCTCAAGAAACAAACCTTTCCCCAAACTATCTAATGTCTAAATATGAGGAAGTAAATATGTGCCATCAAAAGTTGGGATATTTGAATCTGAAGAATATGAAGAATAATCTTTCAAATAAAGTTGTCGGAGGTATTCACGAGTTAAAGACTAAAGAAATAAATGAGGGCATTGATAAAATCCTAGGTGTCAAAAAGAAAAATGGAAAGCTCGGGAGTTTTGATGACTCTGTGTTTGGTGAGACGTTAGAAGAAATGGTACAACATTTTGATGAACAAATGCTAACTGAATATAATGTTACGCAAGACATCTTGACATCATTGTGTGATAACTTGAGCGTTGATGTTAACATTCTAAACGTTCAAATGAACATATCAGTACTAAGCACATTAGACGTCATTCCATTAGAGAGCTTGTTGAAGACAAAGTCATAACTCTTGCACATGTTAGCACTAAAAATCAGCTTACTGATACTTTTACTAAGGACTTGGATGACGTAAAATTTAAAAATTTAGGAGGAATTCTTGGTATTGGTATTTATGAGAATTTATAGCAATT